AGGGTGTCAATGATAAAACCCAGAAAATGCACCCTAGCCAGTTTGGCTCAGTGGATAGAGCATCGGCCCACAGATTAAAGGGTCCTGGGTTCGATTCCGGTCAAGGGCACGTACCTCGGTTGCAGGCTCGATCCCTGGCCCTGGGTGACAAACAATCGATGTGAGACACGTTGATGTTTCTCACTCTCTCTGTCTCTCCCCCTCCCGTCCACTCTCTCTCAAAATCAATGGAAAAATATGCTTGGGTGAGGATTAACAACAACAGCAAAAATCAAAAGTGCAGAAGTGAGGCATTCCTGTGAGAGAAATGAAAGCTTTTAGTAAAAAAAAAAAAAAAAAAGTTTCCTGATTGGTTTTGAGTCTTTGCTGTCTGTTGATTTTCATATCTCAGGTTTACCCAACTCCTAAAAGTCGTTGAATCAGCGTTGTAAAGTTAGAAAGACCCTGAGAGATCATCTTTTCCAATCTTTTCTGTTTACAAATGAGAAACTTGCCCAATAGTACCCTCCCTTCCCCTGCCCCTCGGCCCAGTGAGTGCTTGTTCTCTTACATCACTGCACGACTTTCCCCTCCTTATATTTACATCCACGTGTGTTCATTCTCAAAGCTAGTTTTTCAGTCCCTGAAGGATCGTTTCATAGAAGATAGTTTGTCCACAAACGGGAACCAACCCAAGCTTGAAATGAGACCCCCTTGGTCCTAAGCAGCCATTTGTCCCAAGGAGTTCTGGGAATCACCATGCCCTCTGACACAGGCCTGCACACTGAGTCTCAGGAAAATGTTCAGGTGGATGCTTTGACTGTGTGGTTCACTTGCTGGGGGAGGACCATCCTGGGTGGAAAAAAATAAATAAATGCTGCTTTTCAAGGATAAACATGAATTTTCTATTTGATCTAATGGGCCTACAAATTGGGCAAAAGGTTGGTTTCACAACACGCTGTCCCCTTGGCCTGGTGTTGGTGAAGCCATAAGTGTGTTTAAGCCTCCAAACATCTCTGATTTTTTTTTTCTCTCTCTCTCTCTCTCTGTGCAGCAATAAGGTTTGATGAAATACGCGTGTTTGGTTACACTGCCTGGTCTCTCCTGGATGGCTTTGAATGGCAGGATGGCTACACCACGCGTCGAGGATTATTTTATGTGGATTTTAATAGTAAACAAAAGGAAAGAAAGCCCAAGTCCTCAGCACATTACTATAAACAGATCATACGAGAAAACGGTTTCCCTCTAAAAGAGTCCACCTCCGATGTGCGGGGTGAGTTTCCCTGCGACTTCTCCTGGGGTGTCACTGAGTCTGTCCTCAAGGTAAGTGGCTATTTAACTGTAAGGCGGGACAATAGTGTACAAAATTTTATTTCACTCACTCAGTGGCAGCTAAGAGAGAGCCGTCAGACCATATCAAATGCCACGATTACTGGGAGGTTCTGAAGGGAACTTGGGGGAAGAGGAAGGACGAGGAAGAGAAGAACGAAGGCTTCCCGAGAGCCTTGCGTGTGCCGGGACTCACGATGGGGAACTTGGTGAAGGAGTCGGAGAGGCTGCCCTCAAGTCTAGAAACAACTGAGTTCTTTATGTGAGAGGCACTTGTGAGCAGTGTCAAAGTTAAAGGGAAAACATTTGATAGTTTTTTGTTTTGCCAAAAGCAAATTACTCAGTGGCCCTTTATTTAAGTCATTCCTGTTATTTGATAGATTTAGATAATTTGCCTTATGAGGTCTCTATATCCCAGAGGGACCTCCCCACACGGCCCATTCCTCACCTTCTTCAAATATTTACTCAAATGTCATGTTCTCAAAAAGGCTTCCTTCCACTCCCAAAAGTCATAGCCCCATTACTATCACCTCTCACCCCTTTCCTCTTTGTTTTTTTCATGTAGCATTCATCACTCCCTAACATATATGGACTTTACACATTTTCTCCTCCAGGTTATATTTACTGAAATATAAGCGATATAACAATGTTGTGTAAGATATACAGCTTTTGTTGATTTGATACATTTATATATCACAAAATGATTACCACCAAGGCGTTAGCTACCACCTCCACACCGTCACACAATTCCCACTTCTTTTCATGGTAAGAGCGCTTAAGATATACTCCCTGCCAGGCCGGTGTGGCTCAATGGCTCAGCATCAACCCACAAACCAAGAGGTCACTGGTTCAATTCCCGCTCAGGGCACATGCCTGGGTTGCGGGCTCGATTCCCAGTATGGAGCGTGCAGGAGGCAGCTGATCGATGATGTTTCTCTCTCATTGTTTCTATTTCTCTATCCCTCTCCCTTCCTCTCTCTAAAAATAAATAAAAACATTTTCTTAAAAAAATCATACTCTCTTAGCAACTTTCAAGAATATAACACAGTATTATGAACTATAGTCACCATGCTGTACTTGTTAATCTTATAACTGGAAGTTTGTACCCTTTGACAGATATCTTCCCACTTCCCCCACCTCCCAGCCCCTGGTAATCACTTCACACATTCTTCTTATTTATCACCCGTCTTCCCCACTAGAATGCAAACTTTCTCCGCATGAGGGTGGAGATGTTTGAGGCTTTGCTGCCTGCTGTATGTATGCCTTACTAAAGAAGCTCAGGCTCAATACATAGTGAATGAAAAAGGTCAACTTTTATTGTTGTTAATCCTCACCCGAGGATATTTTTCCATTGATCTTTCAGAGAGAGTGGAAGAGAGAGAGAAACATCAATGTGAGAGAAACACATAGATTGGTTGCCTCCTGCACGAGCCCTGATGAGGGCCCTGGCCGGGAAGGAGCCTGCAATCCAGGTAAATGCCCTTGACTGAAATCAAACCCGGGACCCTTTGGTCCTCAGGCCAACGCTCTATCCACTGAGCCAAACCGCTAGGCCAAGGTCAACTTTTAGAGCCAGGTGAGACCTTAGGGACCCCCTGTTCCAAATCCTTCATTTTATGAATGAGGAAAGTGAGATATATCAATTAATAACTGATACATAAGTGACTTGCCCAAGGTAACACAAATAGTGGCAGAACTATAACAGGCCACCCTCAAGCCCCCAGAGGCAGAGTGCTTTCTCCAAAATAATAATAACAACTAGTTTTAAGCCCTTATTACATGCCAAGCATTTATGAAAGTTGTCTTTAGCTAATCTTAAACCCCTCATTTTATAGGCAAGGAAACTGAAGGTTAGGGAAGTTACATAATTTGTCCAGGTTCCCCAGATCTGTCTCCTGACCACTGTAAGACCTCACAGTACCACACTATTGCCTGTATTCTAGAAGCATATAGAAAGATAACAAAATGTACAAAGGTGGGACCAGACAAAAGGGCTCAAACGATAAGTAGGCAGTGTTCACAGGTTATGAATCTCAAACCCTGTCAATATTTAAACAAGACTTTAGTAAAAGCCCAGAAGTGATAAAAAGAGAAACATACATAGAGCCACACAGACACAGTGACTCACCTTCAGCTCCCTACAGAGCCACCTACTTACCCAGTTCCTGTCTCCTCCTCCACACAGCATAGTCAGACAGCCATCTCTTCCCTGCCACTTCAAGTGGGTTTATATTTTTCAAAATTCCAGGCCTAGCAAAGAGAGATCCAAAAGAGACAGGAGTTCTTGCCTGTACATGACCCAACCTGCCATTTCCTCCTGCCCTATCTGAAGACCTCCATCTGTTTCGCATTGGTTGGTGATGTGAATGTCTGCCCCATTCTAAAGACCCTATTCCTAGTCTCAAGAGCTGATCACTCAGGTCAGGGGAAAGTAATTCTGCAATCAACTAGGTCTGGGTTTCATGCTCACACCTGCAGCCCAGCAAGAAGTCAGCTCCCTTTGAATTTGAACTAAGAGTGAAATTGAATCATTTGCCAAGAAAAATTAAGATGCTTTCTGACATTTCAGCCAGAGGATGTATGAATAGATGCTGTGCTGGCAAAAACTACATGTCTCTATAGGTCCTATAGTATAGGAAGACTGACAAAATGAAAGTATCACTTTAAGAATATTATTGTGCCATTTGTGACAAAACGAATGGACCTAGAGGGCATTATGCTAGATGAAGTAAATCAGAGAAAGACAAATACTGTATCATTTCATTTATATGTGGAATCTAAAAGACTAAATAAATGAACAAACAAAAACCAAACAGACTCATAGAGAGTACAAACTGATAGTTGCCAGAGGGTTGGGAGATGAAGGGATGGGCAAAAAGGTGAAGGGATTAAGAGGTACAAACTTAGTTATAAATAAGTCACAAGGCTACAATGTGCAGCATAGGGAATACAGTCAACAATGTCACAATAGCCGAAACCGGTTTGGCTCAGTGGATAGAGCGTCAGCCTGTGGACTGAAAGGTCCCGGGTTCGATTCCGGTCAAGGGCATGTACCTGGGTTGCGGGCACATCCCCAGTAGGAGATGAGGAGATGTGCAGGAGGCAGCTGATCGATGTTTCTCTCTCATCGATGTTTCTAACTCTCTATCTCTCTCCCTTCCTCTCTGTAAAGAATCAATAAAAATAAAAAATAAAAATAAATAAAATAAAAAAACAATGTCACAATAACTTTGTATGGTGACAAATGGTTACTAGACTTTTCATGGTGATCACTTCGTAAGGTATGTAAATGTCAAATCACTATGTTGTATACCTGAAACTAACATAATATTGTGTCAACTGTACTTTAATTTAAAAAAGCTTTATATCCCAAAATGAAAATAAATATATTACTATGCCTACCCCCACATACCCCCGCCTTATACCCACTCACCCCACCTCTTAGCATTCTTTCCTCCTCCAACGTTTTGTTTTGCGAAATTTTAAACTAGTACAATAAACACACATATTCCCCTCATCAAGACAAATCGATTGTTAACATGTGGCCACATTTACTTTCTCTCTCATTATAATATTATGTATTTTAGTATTGATTCAATATCATTTAATGTACAATCCATATTCAAATTTTCCTAAATGTTCCAAACATGTCCTTTATAGATTTTTTAAAAAATTGATCACAAACAAGGATAACACATTGGCTTTCATGTATCTTTAGCCTCTTTTAATTCAGAGCAATGACCCCAACCTCACAGTATTGACTTTTTTGAAGAGTCCAGGCCAGTTGCTTATAGAATGTCTCATGGATTTCTGATTGTTTCTTTATTAGATTCAGTTAACCATTTCTGGACATAATAGTACATAGACGATGCGTATCACATCAGAAAGTACATGACGTCAGCTTGTTTCATTACTAAAGACGTTAGTTGAAGTAGTCGTCACCAGATTTCTTGGTTAAGGTGGCATTTGCCAGATCTCTTCATTGAAAGGTATCTTCCATTTGTAATTAAAAAGTAATCTGATGGTGATACTTTGAGACCATATAAATATCCTACTCCCCAATAGCATTTCATCCAATGGTCTTAATACTGATTCATGAATCTTGTCTGAATTATACTTTGTAAATTGCAAAATGGTGAATTTATCCTATTTGTTTGTTTTTGTTTTTATTTATTGATTTTTAGAGAGAGAGGAAGAGAAAGAGAGAAACATTGATTTATTGTTCCACATATTTATACATTTGTTGGTTGATTCTTGTATGTGCCCTGACCTGAGATTGAACCCACAACTTTGGCATATTGGGACAATGCTCTAACCCAGTGGTCGGCAAACTCATTAGTCAACAGGGCCAAATATCAACAGTACAACGATTGTAATTTCTTTTGAGAGCCAAATTTTTTAAACTTAAACTATATAGGTAGGTACATTGTTATTAACTTAATTAGGGTACTCCTAAGGCTTAGGAAAAGCCACACTCAAGGGGCCAAAGAGCCGAATGTGGCTCGTGAGCCACAGTTTGCCGACCATGGCACCAACTGAGCTACCTAGCCAGGGCCAAATGGCAAATTTCTAATTAGAGTATTCCATCTACATTTATTATGTGTGTGTGTGTTTTTAATGACATTGTTGTCATTGTTTCATTATTCCTTTTGATGCTCAAATTATCTCAAATTTGGCCAATGGGACTCCTTTCAGCTACTCCTGTCTTTTTGAGATTTCCTTTTCTATTCTTAAGCACTTCCTTATTTTTCTGGCACAAGATGTACCAGCATCACCTCATTCTCTTTCTGCCCCAGGCCTGGAAAAAGCCATATTCCTCCAAAGCTCAGGATCCTTTCAGTGGGGAATAATTTAGAACCAAGCTCTGGGAGCTAGGGTTGAGAGCAAGGTGCATTATCTTTAACTAGATCTGTTAGCAGATTAGTCACACACCACTTGCTAAGACTAATGCTTTCTGGAGGTTTTTACAAGTAAGACATTTTCATTTAATATTGCCTTACCTTATGGCAAGATTGCCCTTTGTAAACACCCTATCATTACCAGGATGCTCTGACGTTTCAAGACACTGAAACTGGCCATCTAGGCTAGGAGGATTTTACTCAAATAATTATATACAGATTTAACTTCATGCTCACCTGATCAATGTTCTCTCAGTTTAATGTTCTAGATAACTGGTTGACAGATGGCAAGTGAGCAGTGATATGGTTTCATAATTAGACTATGAAAAATGACACATGAGAAAACAATTAGAGGGAAAATATTTACCAAAGGTTAATTATCATTTTTTTCCAGGTGCACTTAAATTCAGCCATGGGGAGAAAAGTACTTTAAAACAAGAACTTAAAACAAGTCATTTAAAAAAAAACAACTTTTACTTTTTCTTATTAATCTTGAATTTGGAAGTGTTTTTTCTTAAGCCCTCTTCTGTTATAATTTAGCTAGCAGGCAATTATTGCAACTAGGGAAAACTAAACCCAAGTCATGTCTAGTTTATGTTTGTACAGTGCTTTAGAGTTGACAGAGCACTTTCCCAGAGTCACTGACTCCTCACAGCACACCTGTAAGGTGAGTGAGATTGAGCGGCCACTATACAGGGTTGCCAAGCCTGAGTTTCAAAGAGAGTCCAGGGCTATCTCCTGGTGAGGAGTAAGGAACGAGACACCATCAGATCAAAGAGTCAAGTTGGGAGTTTCTGGGGAGTATTTTACTGTCCTTTCTGCTCGTATCCAAGTATGTACCTTGCATAAAGAAGGTGTTCAGTATTCTCCTGGTGGATGAGTAAATGCTATGTTCTCACAGGCACATGGGTGGGGAGTATATAATGATGCACATGTGATGATATCATTTGACTTTTCAAACAGAAGAGGGTGTTAGAGATTTGCATTCAGCAAATGCAAGGGGTCATTCTCTACCCCATCACACAGGCCTCTTTTAGGAACTTTGGCTGGGATCAACCAGCCTCCTCTAACCCGAAGTGCTGCCCTCAGTGAAATCCTCTACACTGGAATTTTAACTTTGCTTCAATTTATGGCAGTGTTTAAAGGGTCCATCTTTCATGATTCTTTTCAACTGAGAGTACCAAGCCGATATCCTGATGCATTTGAATAAAATCACATGAGACCCCATCATCTGACCTGAGTTTCTAGGACAAATTAACTGGAAAACAGCCTCTCAGGGTTTTCTGTAAAGCAGCTTATTTTCCAAGCTAAGCCCTCCTGGGTGTGGTTCCTTCCTTAAGTCTTCTGGTCTCCCTAGGAAATTTCAAGGGCTAGAAAAGAAGATCATCCATCAGGCCTTTTCCATGACATCACCAGAACAGCTGGAACACACAGGTCATTATACTAGGTTAAGGACATACTCATCCTGTATCTTCTCTATTGTCAGTGAGAGGCAAAATAAGAGCAGGCCCTTCTCCCTCTCAGATGATGCATGCTGACAGCCTGTCCACCTGGGTGTGCTTGACCTGAATGTGCTTGTTTTTCACAGCCAGAGCTGGTGGCTTCCTCCCCACAGTTCACCGATCCTCACCTGTATGTGTGGAATGTGACAGGCAACAGACTGTTGCACCAGGTGGGAGGAGTGAAGCTGAAAACACGGCCAGGTCAATGCACAGATTTCGTCAGCATCAAAAGACAGGTTAAGATGTTGGCAAGGATGAAAGTCACCTACTACCGGTTTGCTCTGGACTGGCCCTCCGTCCTTCCTACTGGCAACCTGTCCACAGTTAACCGACAAGCTCTGCAGTACTACAGGTGTGTGGTCAGTGAGGGCCTGAAGCTCAACATCTCCCCAATGGTCACCTTGTACTACCCGACCCACACCCAGCTCGGCCTCCCCACGCCGCTGCTGCAGAGCGGGGGCTGGCTGAACCCATCCACGGCCAAGGCCTTCCAGGATTACGCCGGGCTGTGCTTCCAGGAGCTGGGGGACCTGGTGAAGCTCTGGATCACCATCAACGAGCCCAACCGACTGAGTGACATCTACAACCGCACTGGTAACGACACCTACCGGGCAGCCCACAACCTGCTGATCGCCCACGCCCTGGCCTGGCACCTCTACGACCGGCAGTACCGGCAGGCCCAGCGCGGGTCGGTCTCTCTGTCTCTGCATTCGGATTGGGCGGAACCCGCCAACCCCTATGCAGAGTCGCACTGGCAGGCGGCAGAGCGCTTCCTCCAGTTCGAAATCGCCTGGTTTGCCGAACCCCTCTTCAAGACCGGGGACTACCCGTTGGCCATGAGGGAGTACATCGCCTTCAAGAACAGGCAAGGGCTCTCGCGCTCCACGCTGCCTCAGTTCACCGAGGAGGAGAGGCGGCTAGTCAAGGGCGCTGCCGACTTCTATGCCCTGAACCACTTCACCACCAGGTTCGTGATGCACGCGCGCCAGAACGGCAGCCACTATGACACGGACAGGGACGTCCAGTTTCTGCAAGACATCACCTGCCTGAGCTCCCCCACCCGCCTGGCCGTGCTGCCCTGGGGACAGCGGAAGGTGCTGAGCTGGATCCGGAGGAACTATGGAGACCTGGATGTTTACATCACGGCCAATGGCATTGATGACCCAGCTCTGGAAAACGATGAACTCCGAAAGTACTACTTAGAGAAATACATCCAGGAGGCCAGGAAAGGTGAGGTTCGCGGGCCACCAGCTACTGGGAACAAAGGAGGAGGGGAGCCCTGGCCGGTGGGATCAATGGTTAGAGTGACAGCCCCACGCACGGAATGGTCGCAGGTTCTATTCCCTGTTGGGCACATGCGGGAGGCAACCAGTCCAGAGACAATCAGTCTTTTTTTTTTGTCTCTCTCCTTCTTCCTTCCCTCCCACTCTCTCTGAAAAACAATGGGAAAAATAAATATCCTCTGGTGATGATTACCAAAACTAAAAGAGGAGTGTAGGCTCCTTAGTGACAGTGTTAGCTCATTATGGAAAATTTGGCAAGTATAGAAACGTATTTTTTTTTTAAATAATCACCTGAAAGCCCATTCTCCAAAACAAGCACCTAGACTTGTGCTTGCTAGACATTTTTAACACAATTGAGCTCATGCTGTAATGCAATCTTGTACCCAACTTTTTCTTAATATCACATTATAAATGTGTTCCTTGTTAACATTATCTTAATGGCTCATGTAGAGGAGAAATGGGTACCCAGCCCTGAAGGCTTAAGTCTTGGCCCATGAAGGAATATATCCCCATCCCCATTACCAATTTTAGACCTAATTTAGTACAAAATATGGAAGCAGACCCTCACCCCCTAGCCTAAAGCAATATTAGGACTGTTACTGCATTTGAAAGCAGAAAGTCAGGAGATCCAGAATAAGAGAAAATAACTTTATTTACAATACTGGGTATTTTAATTTTTTCTTTTTAAGGAAAAAGTTGCATTATTTTTCTGGGGCATACATGAGAAAATTAGTGTTATGGTCAAATTCCTGAGACACTAGCCAATAAACAAAAAAAAAAGTGGAGGTGGTAATAAGTGGATATATATTTTTAAAAATATTTTAATATGTTTTTATTGATTTCAGAAAGAGAAAGGGAGGAGAGACAGAAATATCAATGATGAGAGAATCATCGATTGGGATGCCTCCTGCACACCCCTTACTGGGGGGATTGAGCCCACAACCCAGGCATGTGCCCTGAACTGTGACCTCCTGGTTCATGGATTGACATTCAACCATTGAGCCATACTGGCTGGGCAAAGTGGGTATATTTTTAAGGTAAAGTCAACAGGATTGCATGTGAGAAAAGAGTAAAAAATGATTCCAAAGTTTTGGCTTGAGTAATTAAAAGAATGATGTAGCCCAGCCGGCATGGCTCAGTGGTTAAGTGTCGACCTATGAACCAGGAGGTCACTGTTCAATTCCCAGTCAGGGCACATGCCCAGGTTGTTGCAGGCTCGATCCCCAGTGTGGGGCATGCAGGAGGCAGCCGATCAATGATTCTCCCTCCTTCTCCCTACCTCTCTGAAATCAATAAAAATATATTGGGGGGGGGGGAGGATGAAGTGGCCATTTACTAGGTTAGAGGAGACTGGTAGGCACATTTTTGGAAATGAGTTGCTTGATGTTGCAGTTTGAGATGTCTGTTAGACATCCAATTAGAGATGTCAAGTAAGCTAATAGGTGTAAGTCTCAGGTTCAGAGGAGAGGTCTGGGCTGAGATACATATTTGGGAGCCAAGAAAAAAAATGGATGGTATTTTTTTAAAATAGGGCTTATTGAAATCACTAAGGGAGCAAGGATAGAAAAGGGGGGGGTCTGAGTTCTGGGACACTTCAGTATTCAGAGGTCAGAGATGAGAAATCAGCAAAAATCACTGAAGAGGACCCACTGCTGTAAAAGATAACCAACAGCCTGTTTATATGGAAACTAGCAGTCCAGTGCATGAATTCATGCACAGGTGGGGTCCAGCTTGGCCCGGCCCCAATCGGCAAATCGGGGCTGGGACTTTCAGGGGGAGGAGGAGGTGGCGGGAGATTGGCCGGTCATCCCACCCCGATCAGGGCCCAGCTGGGGGGGAGGGGCTGCAGGTGATTGGCTGGTGGGCCCCCACCCCCAATTGGTGTGTGTGTGGGGGGGATGATGAAGGTGGAGCTGGCTGGGGGGAGGGGACGCAGGCAGATCGGGGTGGTGGGGACTGATGGGGGATGGGGCTGGCCGTGGGGAGGGGCTGTGGGCCAGCCAGCCCCACCCCCGAATGGGGGGGCCGATAGGGGGCCAGCAGCCTGGGGGAGGGGCCATGGGTGGTTGGCTGGCCAGCCCTGCCCCTGATCGGGATGGTGGAGGCCCATCTGGTGGGGGCTGATCGAGGGTAGGGCCAGCCATGGGGAGGGGCCCTGGGAGGTTGGCCAGCCAGCCCCACCCCAGATCGGGCCAGTTGGCTGGCCGCAGTGGGCGTCATAGCAACTGGTCATTCCCGTCGCTGGCTTTTTATATATATAGAATATATAGATGATCCAGTAGTGAGGGAAGATACATGAGAGAACAGATGGAGCAATGTCCTTGAGTAGGCAAGAGAAAATAAAACTTCATTTGTAAGTGGAGGAATCAGCCTCCTCCAAGAGCACAGACAAATCAATCAGAGTAATAAGAAGGCAGAATATATGTGTGCAGATGCCAGTAGGTAGGTAGATATTTGTGGAAGATTGAGGAAGTTCCCTGAGCACTTCAGTTTTTCAGTGAAGTAGGAAGGTCATTACTTCAAAGCAAGAATGACAGAGGACCCCTAGCCAGTTAGACTCGGATAGAACGTTGACCTGAGAGACTGAGGGTCCCAGGTTTGATTCCAGTCAAGGGCACATACCTAGGTTGCAGGCGCAATCCAGTCAGGGCACGTGTGGGAGGCAACCAGTCAATGTATCTCTCCCCTTCCCTTCCACTCTAAAACTCAATGGAAAAATATCCTCAAGTGAAAATTAGCAACAAAAAAATAACTCCCCCATAAAACCATTAAAAAAAAAAAAAACACAGAGTGAGTGACTAGGGGAAACCAAGTGTGGTTATAGGGCAACACTAAGGGCACATTTGAGGTTTGGAATCAGGCCAAATAGGTAAGATTTTTCCCTATGAACAAGTGACAATAAGTCCTTCATGGCATCAACTCTCAAATTTGCTTTTCCCTTCAGCTGTGTTTGTGTCATTTATAAATCAAAGTTTTACTTCAAATTTCTTTTTTAAACTTAACTATATATTTTCACCACCTTTCTATCAATTACAAAAGAATATAACAGCCCTAACTGGTTTGGCTCAGTGGATAGAGCGTCCGCCTGCAAACTGAAGGGTCCCAGTTCGATTCCAGTCAAGGGCATGTACCTTGGTTGCGGGCACATCCCCAGTGGGAGTGTGCAGGAGGCAGCTGAATCGATGTTTCTCTCATCAATGTTTCTAACTCTCTATCCCTCTCCCTTCCTCTCTAAAAAAATCAATAAAATATATAAAAAAAAAAGAATATAACAGCCCTTTAGCATGGCCCATGTGATTCAGCAGTTGAGGGTCAACCCAGGAACCAAAAGGTCACTGGTTCTATTTCCAGTCAGGGCACAGGCCCAGGTTGCTAGCTTGATCCCCAGAAGGGGGTGTGTAGGAGGCAGCCAATCAATGATGCTCCTCTTTAATCAATGTTTCTATCTCTCTATCCCGCTCCCTTCCTCTCTCTCTAAAAAAACATTTTTAAAAAAGACCTTTAATGAAAAATCACCTTTTTTTATGGGCATGGGTTTACCTTGTTTCAATGAAAACTAAATTCTTATTCAAAGGTGTGTTATAGTCCATTTATGGTTAATAATGTTCATTTCTGATATTTTTCTTTTTCAGCATACCTGGTTGATAAAGTCAAAATCAAAGGCTATTATGCATTCAAACTGACTGAAGAAAAATTTAAACCCAGATTTGGATTCTTCACATCTGACTTAAAAGCTAAATCCTCAATTCAGTTTTACAACAAACTGATCAGCAACGGTGGCTTCCCTTCTGAGAACAATAGTCCTAGATGCAGTCAGACTCAAAGAAACACAGAGTGCACTGTCTGCTTATTTCTTGTGCAGAAGAAGCCACTGATATTCTTTGGTTGTTGCTTCTTCTCTACCCTGGTTCTACTTTTATCAA